CGCGTAGAATTAGCTTAGCTGCAGCTTAGCGTTAGCTTTAGCTTAGCTTTAGCTTAGCGTCAGCTTAGCTTTAGCTAAGTGTTAGCTTAGCTTTAACTTAGCTTCAGCTTAGCTTTAGCTTAGCTTGAGCTTAACTTTAGTGTTACTACCAATGCTGCTTTCATGAGGCTCCAACTCCTAGGTAGGGTCGCACTGGGATAATCTGTACTTTTACAACAACAGAAGATCAGCCGACCCCTTGGGGCCACGGCGCGCGGGATGCTTCCGGCCGGTTTGGAGGGGGGGGGGCCATCGCCCGCGCACTCGGGGCCTCGGGAGGCCCCAAGACGGGCCAAAAAGGTCCCAGAGGTTCCCAGAACGGTCGAAGAGAGCTACGAATCGACGAGAGATCGCCCCCGAACGCCGAAGATTGCCTCCACGCGGCCCCATGGGCCCCCAAGACGACCGAAACAACAGTGCGAGGCGCCCCTCCAGACGCAAAAATCACCCCATTCTTTCGTGAGTTTAAAACGCACATTTTCACAACGCTTGCCCATTCGGCTTCCACGCGGCGCATAGCGGCCCCAGAAGCCTCCAAGATAGGCCCTCGCCAGCCCAAGAGGCCCCCCAAAAAGCTCCAAGACGGCGCCCGGGCGATCCAGGAAGGCCCCAGAAACCATGGCAACGGCTTAGGAAAGCCGCAGGCCGGCCCCAAGAGGGTTCTAAAACGGGGCAAGAGGGCCCCCAGAAGCTGCCCGGACGGCCCACGCGGGGGTCGATTCGGTCCGAACCGCCCAAGATCGCCGCCACACGGCCTCATGGGTGTCCAAGACGCTTGAAAACGCGACCGCGATGCGCCTCAAGAAAGCCTCCGCAAGCAAAAACCGTCTCATTCCCTAAGGGAAACGTGCATGTTGAGCACATTTGCTTCTCGGGCTTCCACGAGGCCCACGACGGCCCGATAAACCTCCAAGATCGACCCCTGCCACCCGAAGAGGCCCCGAAAAAGGCTCCAAGACGGCGCCCAAGCGATCCACGAAGGCTCCAGAAACCATAGCAACGGCCCAGGAAAGCCGCAGGACGGTCCCAGGAGGACTCCAAAACTGGCCAAGGGGGTTCCCAAAGGCTGTCGGGACCGCCCACGCGGGGGACGATTCGGTCCAAACCTTTCAAGATTGCCTCCAGACAGCCCCGCGGGCGCCCAAGACGTTTGCATGCGCGACCACGAGGCGCTCCAAGCAGGCCTCTAGAATCAAAAACCGCCCCGCTCCCATGGGAAAACGCACACTTTCAACACATTCGCTTCTCGGGCTTCCACGAGGCCCACAACGGCCCAATAAACCTCCAAGATCGACCTCCGGCACCCCGAGAGACTCTTCCAAACGCTCCACGACGGCCTCTGGGCGCCCCGCGAAGGCCCCAGAAACCATAGCAACGGCCCGGGTGAACGGCAGGACGGCCCGAAGAGGGCTCCATCACGTGTTTAGAGGGGCCTCGCAGGCTGTCTGAACAGGCCACGCGGGAGGCGATCGCTGCCGCCCCAAGGGCTCGGCGACGTGGCGTAAGCCAATGGGTAAGTTTGCGGGTCTATGTATTTTGCATTACCTCATATGTTTATGTGTCTTGCAGCTTGCATTTCTAGTGCATTGCAAAAATACAAAATTCAAGAACATGCATCTTCTCCTTGGGCGACCTCGCCAATCTCCTGGCCCGATCAGCGCGATGCCGGGTGGGCCCCGAGCTCCGCGGCAAAGCCTGCGTGCTTGGATGGTGCCTTGTCGCCACGTCGTCTTGGGCCTGAGCCCCGATCCCCTCGGCTTGAAACCGCGCGCCTGAAGCGCGATCTCTGGCTCCCGAGCTTCAGCCCTCGCTCGCCGATTTGGGCCCGGCCGATGCCCGAGCCCCAAGCAGGCCCGCGCGACGCCGCGGGCCCGGGCCTGAAACTCAGCAGCGAGCGAGAAGCCCAGGACCCCCGAGACGCCAAGCAGCAAGCAAGAAGCACCAGGCCCCAAGCCCCGCGCCCGAAGCCCAAGCCTCGAACTGCACGCCTCTACTCCCAGCCCAGAGGCCACGCGCACTGGGCCCCGGGCTGAAGTTCTGCAGCCCCAGGCCTAAGGGGCCCAAAACGCAAGGCCGAAAGCCGACCGAGAGCTCAAGCGCCACGGGCGTTCGCCAGCAGGAGAGGCTCCCCGGGCGCGGGGGAAATGAAGCGAACTCCTCTTCCCTCCTTCTCTCCCGCACCATGTTTCGGCGCTTCCCCCCCCTTCAAACCCTGCCCCCCCCCCCCCCCCTTCCTCGCTATCCTTGCCCCCCCCCGCCCCCCCCTCCTCTTCACCCCCCTCGCGGCGCTCGCCATTATCCCCGGCGGGCCTCGTCGGCCTCGCCGCCAGGAGCAGGGGCGCAAGCAGTAGGGGCGGGGGCAAGCGGGGCGCGGGCGGCAAATTCTCTGGGCGACGGGGGAGGAGGAAAGGAAGGAACCGCAGCTCCTCCGAGCGAGCAAAAGGGAGAGAACGATCACCGTTCTTCCCCGGGGAAATCGCCTATGCGCATTACTATCATCTTGTCTGCGCGCGCGTGCATCTATTATTTCTATATAGATTCAGGGAAGCTGCCGGGGGCGACCCCCCGAGGCATCGCCCACTCATGGGCCAAGTCGCGGAGGAGGCCAGGGTCGGAGGCGAGGCGCCGGCCCCGGCGCGGGCGCGCCGGCTCCGCGGCGCCCGGCCGCCCGGGGCCCAGCGCGATGAGGGGCGGGTCGGCGAGCTATAGCGGGCGGCCTCGGCGCTCGCCGGCAGCTGGGCACGCGCGAGCCGCTCGGAGGTGACCGAGACCCGGCACGGGTCGCAGCGGGCGCCGGCTAGATCTCGAGGGGCGCCCGCGTCGTAGAGACCCATAACTTTGAGAAGCTCCGGCAGGGCGCCGGAGGGAAAGAGGTCGCACTCGAGAGGCCGCGGGCCCGCGGCAGCGACCGCGTCCGCGAGGCGCCTCCGCGTCGAGGGCCGAGCTTCAGACAGCCCCTGGCCGCGGGGAGGCGGCGGGGCCGCGCCGGCTAGGGCAGCCCGCGGGCACGGGCGGCAGCCAGGGCGCCGTGGGCGGCCGCGGCGTCGAGCTGCGCGGCGCCCGCCGCGCCAGCCTCCACGGGCGCCTGATCCGAAGCGGAGCCGGGCGAAGAAAAAAGTGACTTGGGCCGCGGAAGCGGGGACAGCCCGCCCTGCGGGGGGCGCCTCGCCGGTCCGAGCGGGCAGCCGCGCGGCCGCCGCGGGTAGCGAGGCCGGGCGCATGGGGGGGGGGGCATACGGGCCCCGCTCGCGGCCCTTGCCGCCCTCCTTGCGGCCGCTCTCCTCTGCGCAGAGCCGCTGCTGCTTGAGCGCGAAAATATCCGTCTTCTGTTCGTCCGCGATGAAGCGCGCGAAGTCGCCGCGCGCGAGGGTGGAGCCGCTGTCGAGGCGGCCGTGGATCGCCATCTCGAGGCCGCGGAAGTCGGGGTTCTCGGGCGACCTCTTCGCCGCCAGCTCGATGTACAGGGCCCGCCGCGCCAGCATCTCCACGGCCGCGCTGCGGTAGATCTCGAGCTGATCGAAGCAGAGTGCGCGGCGGGGCACCGAGACCAGGCTCTGGCGGCGCTTCGCAACGCCTGCCTCGGCGACGTTGACCCCAGACGACCTGAGCCGCGCCTCGCGGTAGTTCCCCAGGGAGCGGACCCCGCGCAGCAGCTCGGCAGCTCCGAGAGAGAAGCCCCCCTTGAAGTCCATGCAGCGTGCGCCCTGCCCGTCGCGGGCGATCGCGAGGACGCGGGGGTCGCGGCCAGCTCCCGTCTGCTTCTCCTCCTTCCAGGCCGCCAGGGCGCTGGGGAGGAGCCGCTCCGCAGCCGCCCACCTGGTCGTCCATGCGAGCGAGGCCGCAGTGCCCCCGCGTGACGAAGCGCCCGGGGTTCGAGGTGATGGCCACCTCGACGACGGTGCCAGAGAGCTCGTCGGCGGGGTCGGAGACCTGCCAGAGTGCGGCGGCCGCGAGAGCAGAGGGCGAGGCAGCATCAAGGATGCCAGCCAGGGCGTGGGCCTGCTACACCAGGCTGGCGAGCGCGTCCTCGGCCAGCGGGTCGAAGCCGTAGAAGTGGCCGCGCAGCCGCGGCGGGATCGGACAGCCGCGCACCAGTGGCACAATCCGCGCGGCCGAGAGGTTGCTCACCTGGACGTCCTGCGTGGGCGTGGCGAGCGCGAGGATCCTGTATTGCCAGCGGAAGTTTGGCTCGTCGTCGTACGCCACCGCGGTCTGCTGCTGCTCGATGTCCAGCGCCTGAGGGATGTGCGCCATCAGCGCCGACGGCGCGGCGCCCAAACGTCAGGCTCGTCGGGACCAGGAGGGCCAGCAGCGCCAGCGTCGCGGTCGCCCACCGCAAGGACCGGCTCGCCCACGGGGAACGCGAGCGAGGCACCGGCCGCGGCCGGCGTCCCGAAGGAGGCCCCGCCCGCGGCGGTGCTGGCCCAGCGGCCGTGGCACCACAGGCGGCAGACCACCGCGAGGCCCCAGGCGAGGGCCGCGGCTGCCAGGGCGGCGGTCCACACCGCCGAGGTAGCCCAGCCGCAACGGCAGTCCAGGCAGGCGGCCGCCGACAGGCAGGCGGCCTGCCAGGGGCAGCTCACCACTGGGCAGACGGCCACGGGGCAGGCCGGACACTCGAGGGCGTGCCCGCAGTCGCCAGGGGCCGCCGCCTCGGGGCCAGACCACCAGCCGCCGTGAGGCCCCCGACGAAGGCGGCGATCGCGGCGGCGGGGGCGCCGAGGCCGCCGGCTCCCCTCACCCCAAGCCAGAAAAGCTGCAGAGGACTTCGATGCTGCCCGTGATAATGTGGCACATCTTCAAGCATCATCATCACCTCCCTCGTGTTCAACCCTCCCCCGCCGCATCCTCCCCATTGCTCCGACCCCGTCCCCCCACTCTCGTCCTCCCCATTGCTCCTCCCCATTGCTCCGACCCCGCCGCCCCACCCTCGTCGCAAGGGGCGGTGGGGGCGGCGTCGCCGCGCGCGCACTCCACCGCGCCGCACGCGGAAAGCCTCGGGCAGATGTGGCCCGTGGGGCAGACACACCGGCCTGAGGCCGCGTCACACGCCTTCGGGGGCGGCGTCGCGGTGGGCGGCCACCACCTCCTCCCCCTCCTCCCCCTCATCCTCGTCCTCCTCCTCCTCCTCCGTTTCCTCCTCCTCCTCCTCCTCCTCCTCCTCCTCCTCCTCCTCCTCCTCTTCACCCCCTCCATCTCTTTCTTTTCCTCTCACCTCTCCTTTTCCTCTTCACTCCTTTTTCCTCCCTCTCTCCTCCTCTCCTCCTCCTCCTCCTCCGTCACTCTCCTCCGCAGTCCTCGATCTCCTCCTCCTCTCCTCCCCTCCTCCTCCTATCCTCCTCATCCTCGTGCTCCTGCCTCTCCTCTCCCCTCCTCCTCCTCCTCCTCCTCCTGTCCTCCTGTTCCTCCTTTCCCCTGTCTCCTGTTCCTCCTTCCTCCCTGTTCCTCCTCTCCTCCGCCTCCTCCTCCTCCTCCTCCTCCTCTCCACCTCCTCCTCCTCTCCTCCTCCTCCTCTCCTCCTCCTCCCCCTTCTCTTCCTCTTCCTCTTCCTCCTCCTGCTCCTCCTCATCCTCCCCCTCCTCCTCGTGGATGAGATTGAATCCGAAATGAGTGCGTTGCGAAAAGTACTAAATGTTGATGGCCTAGTGCAATTTCAAGGGTTATGTTATGGATCCTCCTGAAGGAATGTTGGACAAAAACATTTGCAAGAAGTCATTTCCGGTAATAGTAATGGAATGTCTGATATCACTGCTTGGTGCCATTAACTAGAGTGAGAAAATTTCAGGAAAATGTACAGCCCGCTTGTTTAAAGGTAGTACGATTGCCATCATTCTGCTCCACAATTCCTCCTCCTCCTCCTCCTCCTCCTCATCCTCCTCCCCCTCCTCCTCCTCCTCCTCCCCCTCCCCCCCCGCCCCTCCAGGGAAAAGATCATGCCAGAAACGGCCAAGGAGCGGGGCAGGGAGGCGAGATAAAAGGTGGATGAGGACGATGAGGATCGGGAAGATCGGGAGGGGGAGGGGCGGGAAGGAGAAGGAGAAGAAGAGGAGGACAGGAGGAGAGGAGGAGAGGAGAGGAGGAGAGGAGAGGAGGAGAGGAGAAGGGGAGGAGGAGAGGAGGAGGAGAGGAGGAGGAAAGGAGAGGAGGAGGAGAGGAGGAGAGGAGGGGGGGATGAGGAATAGAGGGAAGAGGGTCTTGCTCCTCCTCCCTCCTCCTCCCCCCATTTTCCCCCCTCCTCCCCTTTATTCCTCCCTTCCTTCCTCCTCCTCCTCCTCCTCCTCCGCCTCCTCCTTCTCCTCGTCATCCTCCTCCTCCCCCTTCTCCTCCCCCATCCTGTGCAGCCTCACTGGCGCGAGTCATACTTCTGTCTGCTTTGCGGAAGGCAGCAGCGCCCAATCTGCTAGTCACGATTCAAAGCTCGATCGATTATGTTTCCTGCTAAGCTGTAGAGGGCGGATCACAGTAGTTCAGCAGTTGTCAAGTGTGTTGTGTGTGTTGTGTGTTGTGTGTTGTGTGTTGTGTGTTGTGTGTGTTGTGTGTTGTGTGTTGTGTGTTGTGTATTGTGTGGTGTGTGGTGTGTGGTGTGTGCTGTGTGGTGTGTGGTGTGTGGTGTGTGGTGTGTGGTGTGTGGTGTGTGGTGTGGTGTGTGTGTTGGTGTGTGCTGTGTGCGTGTGCTGTGTGGCTGTGTGCTGCGTGCCGTGTTGCCGTTGCGGTGCAGTGTGCCGTGTGCCGTGTGCGTGTGGTGTGTGGTGGTGGTGTGTGGTGTGTGGTGTGTGGTGTGTGGTGGGGCGTTTGTGTGGTGTGTGGTGTGTGGTGTGGGTGTGGGTGTGTGGGGTGTGGGGTGTGGGGGTGTGGTGTGTGGTGTGTGGTGTGTGTTGTGTGGTGTGTGGTGTGGTGTGTGGTGTGTGGTGTGTGGTGTGTGGTGTGTGGTGTGTGGTGTGTGGTTGTGGTGGTGTGTTGTTGTGTGGTTGTGGGTGTGGGTGTGGTGTGTGGTGTGTTGTGTGTGGTGTGGGGTGTGGTGTTGTGTGTCTGGTATGGGTGTGCGTGTGTGGGTGTGGTGTGGGTGTGTGGTGTGTGGTGTGTGTGTGTGGTGTGTGGTGTGTTGTGGTGTGTGGTGTGTGGTGTGTGGTGTGTTGTCGGTGTGTGGTGTGTGGTGTGTGGTGTGTGGTGTGGGTGGTGGGTGTGGTGTGTGGTGTGGGTGTGTGGGGTGTGGTGTGTGGTGTGTGATGTGTGCTGTGTGATGTGTGGTGTGTTGTGCTGTGTCGTGTGGTGTTTGTGTGTGGTGTGGTGTGTGGTGGTGGTGGGTGGTGTTGGTGTTGGTGTGTGGTTGTGGTGTTGGTGGTTTTGTGTGGTGTGTGTGTTGTGGGTTGTTGGTTGTGTGTTGTTGGTTGTGTGTTGTGTGTTTGTGTGTTTGTGTGTTTGTGTTTGTGTGTTTGTGTGTTTGTGGTGTGGTTGTGTGGTGTGTGTGTGTGGTGTGTGTGGTGTGTGTGGTGTGTGGGTGTGTGGTGTGTGGTGTGTGGTGTGTGGTGTGTGGTGTGTGGTGTGTGGTGTGTGGTGTGTGGTGTGTGGTGTGTGGTGTGTGGTGTGTGGTGTGTGGTGTGTGGTGTGTGGTGTGTGGTGTGTGGTGTGTGGTGTGTGGTGTGTGGTGTGTGGTGTGTGTGTGCGTGCGTGCGTGCGTGTGTGCGTGTGTGTGTGTGCGCGTGTGTTCAGGAAGTTTCGGAGTCTGTGGTGTCCTGAAGCCTCCCGATCTCTTGGAACAAGGCTGACGACCTAGTTTCGACCAATGAGCTGTCCAAGGAGTTGGCCCCCAGATGGTCATTAGGGCCCGAGGGTGCGAGCATATCTGGCGCTCCAAATATGCGGCTCACCCGTTTGAGAATCCAAGCTGCGAAGGCCCAGGGGAGGTTGCTGGAGGTTCTTCGCTAAGACTATCGCCCACGGCAAATAGGACAGGCTGGATGCGGGACCCGCAAGTCTTCTGCAGCGACGATTATCTGAAGACTGTTGCGCCCATGCTCTGGGAAGGGCACCTAGCTGGAGCGAAGACCTTGCACGAAGACCTGGCTGGAGCGAAGGCCTCCTGCTGCACGCCAAGAAGCCTAGACGTTGGGCGTCTGCCACGAAAGCGCCGTGCCGTTCAAGTGAACGGATGTATCTTGCGATCGTTTCGAATCGGGGCGCGTCACACGCTGCGGGAGAAAATGCAGGAGTTTGGCCGGGCCCGCTGTGGCGTTCGAGCAACCGTATATTATGGGAGGAGCTGGTGTGATGGCGAGGCACGCTTCCTCTTCTTCCTGTTCCCTTTCGTCCTCTCCCCCCTCCCTTCTCCAACCTTTTCCCCCCTCTTGCCTCCTCCTTCCACCTCCTTCCATCCCTGCTCATCCTCCTCGCGTTCTGATTATTCGTATTATTCTGATTCGTCAGAATCGTCTTCTTCGTAGTAGTATTATCTTAATGTTTAAAATGCTTGTGAGTAGCATGAGTACTACACGCGCCGTCAATAATAGCACTTGTTGTACTGATGGTATTAATTATGCTGCTCGTATTGAGTTAGTAGTACGTTTATTGTGTATATTGTTCTTGGTATTAGCAATAAGGGCAATAGTAGTAGCACTAGCAGTTGTAGTATTAGTCGTAGTAGTAGTAATCAAATAGTAGTAGTAGTAGTAGTAGTAGTAGTAGTAGTAGTAGTAGTACTAGTAGTAGTAGTAGTAGTAGTAGTAGTAGTGGTGGTGGTAGTAGAAGTCGTCGTGGTCGTAGTCGTAGTCGTAGTCGTGGTCGTACTGGTAGTAGTAGTAGTAGTAGTAGTAGTAGTAGTAGTAGTAGTAGGAGAAGGAGTAGTAGTAGTAGTAGTAGTAGTAGTAGTAGTAGTACTAGTAGTAGTAGTAGTAGTAGTAGTAGTAGTAGTAGTAGTAGTAGTAGTAGCAGTAGTAGTAGTAGTAGTAGTAGTAGTAGTAGTAGTAGTAGTACTAGTAGTAGTAGAGTAGTAGTAGTAGGAGGAGGAGTGGTAGTAGTAGTAGTAATACTAGTAGTGCTACTGCTGCTGCTACTACTACTACTACTACTACTACTACTACTACTACTACTACTACGACTAATACCACTACTACTAGTAGTAGTAGTAGTAGAGTAGTAGTAGTACGTAGTAGTAGTAGTAGTAGTAGTAGTAGTAGTAGTAGTAGTAGTAGTAGTAGTAGTAGTAGTAGTAGTAGTAGTAGTAGTAGTAGTAGTAGTAGTAGTAGTAGTAGTAGTAGTAGTAGTAGTAGTAGTAGTAGTAGTAGTAGTAGTAGTAGTAGTAGTAGTAGTAGTAGTAGTAGTAGTAGTAGTAGTATTAGTAGTAGTAGTAAAAGTAGTAGTAGTAGCGGCGGTATTACTCGTATTAACAATACAATGACAAATTATATGACCCATTGTCTTCCAAGTGGTATCATTCCGCATCCGCGCGGCATAGCCACCACTGCTCTTTGCGAACATAGTCCGCCATCTTTCCGCCAGGTCTTCTGCGTCAACAAGATGACCACTTAAATCCTGTGGTCTGCCATTCGTCGCCGGTTCTCCCGCGACGCTCGCATTGCTTTCCAACCGTCTTGGTTTGCAGCCTCGTCACACCATCGTTTCCTGTCAGCTCGGGCAGACAGCTGCATCTGTTTGCTGGGCCGTTTTATCCACGCGTGGCCCTCCCCAGCGTTTCGCATTATGTTCTTTTGTTCAGTGAGATGCAAAGGCCCGGCGGGAACCCGCGGTCTGAGCGGCCGAGCCGGCGCAATGGCACTGCGGAAGAAACCGTTTCTAGCGTGTTTTTCGCCGCGGCCACAGCTTTCACATGAAGATCTGCGCCCCCAGCTTGTCGCTCCCATTTGTGGACGAATTCGGCGGCGTACTTTTGAGCAGCGCTGCGACGTCGAAGCTTTGTTAACTCCAGTCGCAGCTGTCGCTTGTAATGTTCTTGCTTCGGCATGTCGACGTCGAGGTCGACGATCGGCACAAAATCATGAGACTGCACAGCTCCCCACCGATCGCTCCAAATATTCCTCCCGATGGTAGGGGGGCCA